GGAGGGGGGGGGAGTGTTCCCCATCGTTGTCAGTCCGAGCAGAGCAACTTCTGCTTTGGTGCCTAGAATACAATGTGAGCTAACTGCACACCACCTTCCAGGGGTAAGGAACAGTCTGGCAGACGCCCTTTTGAGGCGGCTTCGTCTCCAGAACATGGAGTGGCAGATACCCCAGTGGGTAGCCTCCAGGCTGTTTCGGCTGTGGGACTCGCACAGACACAGTAGACTCGCACAGATGAAAGTCTTGTCTGAGCAGGCTGCCAACATCCTGGCCAGGGCGAACAGGGATCCCAACACGCTGCCTACAATTCAAGGTGGCGAGCATACACGAGCATACACTGATTGATCGTTCCATGCCATCCCTCTATTAGCCAGGTAGCAGACTCCTTCGACCACCTGCTTTGTCAGGTAGGCGTCGGCCAGAACTGGGGGCATTGTCCTTCTCGGACGGGTGTGCCGCCCTTATGGACAATCAAGTTGTACTAAAGACTTGAATCAGGTTTCTCGCCAAGAACCAAATCCCAGGACACAATCCTCAGCCGATCGTCATCCCCTGGCTGTCAATATTGTCGGACTGGAGGATCAGGGGGAATTGCTTCTCTGCCCGGTTCGAGCACTGAGTTGCTACGAACACTACTAGGGATTTGAGACGGGGTGCAAAGCACATGTTTTTGTGTTACGACCCAGGCAGACAGGATAGGCCGGCCTCCCCAACTTCCATCGCCAGGTGGATTACTGCGACTGTATTAGAGGTCTATAATACCTTAACTTCCTCGACACAGAGCTTGCAGAGTCACCAAGTACGAGCACATGAGGTTCGTGCTATTGCTAACTCACTAGCGCTAGCATCAGGCACCCCCCTCGAACATATTCTGAGGGCAGGCTTCTGGAGAATGCAAACCTCTTTATCAACTACTACCTAAGAGATGCCCAATCCATTGAGGAGGGCCTTGTTAGGTTGGATCCCGTCATAGCGGGTCAGACTCTGGTTGCTGACCCAGCCCGAACAACCACAAGGGTCCCTGCGCCATAGGCAATATGTCGGTCTCAGCATTTTTGCGGACAGATTTCTCTACCGTCAGCACTCTTTGGAAGTTTCCAGGTCTCGCTTTTCGGTCTATGTCCTCATGCAGAACTGTTTTGAAAGCTTACTACCCCTGAATTGAGTTGGGTCTAGCTTTCTCTGGCACACCAAACCCTGTCACCGTAGCAGCATTTTTGGCTTTTTGCTCCGAGGACAGCACAGGCAAGGTTAGACACCACCCTCTTTTTGGTCTTAACTAGGTGATGAGTGGTATTTGTAGAGTGTATCATCCGGACTGGGGAAAAAGACTTTCATCATTTTCTGTTTGCTCGGAAAACCCGCCACCTATTGGCTTCTGACTTTTTCTACAGTTCAAAATAGTCATTTTGACTGACTGGAGTCTATGGTGGGTATGAACTATGTGAATAGGCGTGTTCTGCCTAAATCTGTTTGGAGAAATCCTATTCGGCGTTGTCGAGTCCAAATCGCTCGGGTTGCTGGGTCTATTTTTGCGTTGCGTGAACATGAACCAATCATTTCTCGGTCTTGTTCGACCTAACAAGTTGGCAATTTCTTGCTCTTTGAAATCTCGTTTAATCGATCGTCGCTGCCTTCTTCTCGACCGTAAAAACACTCGGGGGGAAAAACAGAAACAAAGCAAATGCATTTACCAGAGGGGACGCCATGTTGTTGATTGACCTTTCCATTTGTTTATTGACCTTTCCGTGATATGATTCGTTGTGGACGCAAAACACCGGTGTTTTTACTAAGTGAGAACGCGAGCAGACAATTCAGCAGATAAGCTAATATTTGCACAACAAAAAAACAGTGTCAACACCAGCGTTTTTTAGATGTGTGAGAACGTAGCTACATGTATAGTACATATGCAAAGTAATAATTTCAAATTTTTTAAAAATTTCCCAACATGCTAGTTTAAATAAAAGAAATGAGCTTTTTTCTTCCTGTAGACACAGAGCCAAATCGTTGCTATGCAACAACTAGTTTTAATATTGTAAACCCACTCCCTTGTTATGCAAATCTGTAGCGCTTATAACGTAGTCTGTTTCGGTGTTTTATTTAATAAAGTCTTAACTCCTGATGAGTGAGGTACTCCATGTACCTTACGAAACAGTACTGTAGAGTCAACTTTACCCATGTAGTCGTGTCTTAATTACTTTGTCCACGTGTATATATATATATACAATGTATATATATACTTTGCATGGTCATTAAAATATTTATTCATGGAGCTAACTGGTACATTTTATCTACAACAAGTACAGTCAGTTTAGTGCCTATGTCAGTTAATAAAGTCATAGAAAACATATTTTGGTTAAATTTGTGAAGTCTGTGAGTTATCAAAATATGATGAAATTAAAAAATTGATAATGACAACATTGTTTTTTTGCAATGGCATCTCAAAACTAAAGTCAGTGGTAGCGTACAGTTAACGGCTTTGCAATGAAATTAATTATTTAACCAATGCCGTTGTGATATCTGACTTTTCAATGACAAAGTGCACACATTTCATGTCCTCAGTTTACGATTACATGTATCTTAGAATGTATGTACATCAAATTAGGTAAAGAAGTGTTATTTTTTAACCACCACAGAAAATTATGCACTCTGCGCTGTCATCTTAGTTACCTCAATCTGAATTTAGTCATTTAGTCATAGTTTGTGCTAGTGTGTTATCAAGACGAGTCCCACTTACAAAATTTTAAGAAATTGAAATTTGACCCTAGATAACTTTATTACAGATTGGACCCCAGCTTGCCTGGAAAACTGGTTCCCTTTTCAATAATTGGAGTCAAAATATGGGGTTAACGCATTTCCAGAAGCCATAGTTTTTTTTTTATAAACAGTCTTGTCTGCGGTTGAATTAATTTGGCATTGAATAAATGTTTACCATATTTTTTTAGTCTCAATTTTAGACAAATTCCGAAATCAAAGACCTTGGGGTCCGTCCGACCGGAGTCATATTTCAGATATTCATTGACCGATCTCATTCAAACTTTACACAAATACAATACTTCATATCACATGCGGTTTTTTTTGAAGACTAACAAAAATGGCCGACTGGTGGCCATTTTGGATGAAAAAATTTACTATTTTTGATTCTCAAACGTGTTAGCAGCTGTTACGCAGAGATGACTGTAACGATTTTGATCAAAGTTGGTATGATGATGATACATATTGAAAATGAGGAACATCATTTAATACATTGTAAATTGTAAAACAAAGAGACACAATGTTTCACACTATCAACAGTGTAAATGCAAATTTCCTGAATTTGGATAAAGAAAAACAATTTAAACATATCTTACAATCAAAAGATAAAGATACTATTATAGCCCTCTATGTGTACTTGAGTAACAGTAAATGAACAAACAAAAGAATACACTCAGTCACACTTATTTAACTTTTTATTTACTTAACTTTCGCCTACTTACTTTTTTAGTTATTCATTATTAACTTTATTACATTTTAAACACCAAATTAGAAATGTAAAATTTTCTACACGGTTGTAATAAAGCTGTTATCTATCTATCTATCTATCTATTGGGTTATAGATGCACAAATTTCAATGACTAGAAGCCATTTTATTTTATTACATATTTCCCCCTTTTTCTTTTTCTTCTATTACTTTTACAGAATTATTTAATCTTAGTACATATAGATAGTATAAATGAAGATACATCAGCAGCAATTTTTTTTGTGATCAAATTTAATTTGGCTATTTTCATAGTTCAATGAAACTTCGTACACTTATTTTTCTCAGAATTCATAAAACAATTTTCAAAGTGTCACAGTTATTACTAACTGGTGGCAACTACATATTAATTTAAGTCATTACACTTTAACATTGAAATTGTTATTGCTTGATTTTAATTCTGAAGGAAACATTCCAACAAAGTGAAACATCCAGCATCTAATTGTCAAAGTTTACATATGCCCCTTATTCTTGCATGTTGTACTGTAATCAGGATTACTAATAATTGGTAGTCGAGTTGGTTTTATTTTGGTTTGTCCCTTGAACATGCTTGAGCTGTAAAAAAAAATGGGAATGAGGACGACATAATAGGACATGAACTTACAGGGTTATTAAAGACAATTGCCTTGATGCAGTATTTCTATATGCTAAAGCCATTTTATCAATGTTTTCCTTGGAAGATGGGTGCCCCTTAATTCCCAAGTAAAGTTCTGCAATAGTATACATGTACACTTGTTTTTCATTTTGACTTCTGACAAATTGGTGGCCAATTTAGTTCTCAAAAGCAAATATTTTTGTTTATTTTATTCAAAATTGGTTTGAATATTGTAGATGATAGTTTTGATGCATGTCTGCATTGTAATTTAATTCAAGATGCTGACTAGTGACTATGTTTTGTTTTCAAATTTAGGTTTTGTTCAAGAAAGAATTGTGATTGAAAATTTAATGTGCAACAGTAGTAATGGCAAGTGGTCTGAACACAGTAGTGTGTGTTGCAAGTGCAACTTTGTATCATCAAATGTTCATCTTTTGATACTTATTAGTTGTCAGTAACACATATTAATTATCCAGCTCAATGAATAGTCTGAATTCAAGTCCTCTGAGCTCAGCTCAATTTCGTAACATGAAGCTTGCATAAAATAAACCAACACATTTTAGGAGCAGCTTTCTTCATGATTCACGCTGACTAAATTAGACTCATACAGCATATCTGGTCTTGACAAATTTACGTCACGATAACTCTGTCAATCCCTGAAATAAACAAGAGCTTGGAGGGTGTATGAGAGTGGTTTGAACCACTGTTTTTATGTGTTTATTTGTGTGGTCATCCAAGGAGGCACTGTCTATTGTCTAGACTTTGAATCTGGGAAACTGGGTTTTATTTGGGTGCTTAGGTTTGGGTTATCCCAGGTTTGACCCAAGTGTATGAATATGAAAGTCGTCCTTACTAATATCTATCTATAAAATACTTGCCTCATACAGATTCATCATGGTCAAGCTGTTGATTTGGATGTTAAGTGTTTTACTGTTAGAAGTTCAGGGTTATCCAAGTGGTGCTCCAAGTAGTACTTGTGAAAACATGACACCAAGCCATGGGGTTGATGCTCAAGGCTCTGTTGCACCTTATGCAGTAACAGCTGACTCAAACTCATACCAACCAAATGATGTCATTACTGGTAAATATTTAACTTCATTATAATTTTAAATTATTTATTTATTTATTTATTTATTCATTTATTTATTTATTTATTTATTTATTTATTTATTTATTTATTTATTTATTTATTTATTTATTTATTTATTTATTTATTTATTTATTTATTTATTTATTTATTTATTTATTTATT